TGTAATGTGAAAATTTTGGTTTCTGCATATATCCTCTAAAACATGTTTTAGGGCCTTTATTTTAGAGGGACTACATTAGCACCTGAATTCAATTATGTAGCCATGGTACATTTTTTAAATTAATTTTCTGCCAAGAGGAATACAGCTTTTCCTATCAAATACTGTTGTGTGCTGTAAGCTAATTTGCTTAAATATACACCAGCTGAACACAAAATAATTATGTAAATTCATCCACAGAATGCCTTATATTCTTACTTACAGAGAATTTACTTCTTACTTCTTACATGGTGAACCATATCATTTTATGTTCAGTGCTACAGGCAATAAAATGTTTACAGTTTTATAGTTTTTGCATAATTGTGTCATAACTTTTAATTTTCTTTCAGGTTAACTATGGGAAAAGTCCTTAGACAATAGTTTCACACAATTTTCTTCAAAATATTGCCAAAGAACAACAAAAGAAATTCATAAACAAAAACTTATATTTTGATTGAAACAGGTATAAAAATTTATACCTTGTATTTTGATTGAAACCAGTAAAAGAATTTATACCAATTCCATGATTCTTATTTAGATCCAGTCTAACGTCTCACAATAATTTCATCTAGAAAGAGCCAAAACATTATAGCAGTTATTCTTCAAACAAATCTGAAGTGGATTATATAAGCATTGAAAAGTTCTTCAAGGAAAATTGTCCCACTGAGAGACTGGGAAGGATACAAATTTATTTACTCAATTTTTAATTTCAGAATTCAATCATGACAGATTTATTTCAAGACTGATATTTTGTTTTAAAGAAGAATTTTAAAAACTTGAAAGCGTGTGAAAAAATAAATGTAAGCACAGCAAAATTTTAAACACACCTCCTGATAAATAGTTTATTATAGATTTTTTTAGGAAGTTGTGTTATTGGGGAGTTTCAGACTGGGGTTTCAGGTATGTATCTCAAGATTCTATTGAACACTGGAAGCTTTCAAGATAACAAGAAAACACTGGAAAACAGTTATGTTTTTCCTCAGTATATGTATTTTATATATATATATATATATATATATATATGTATGTGTGTGTGTGTGTGTATTTTTTATATATGTATCTATTTATAATATATATTACATACATTATAATTACTATATTAATAATAATTAATTAATAACTAATAATAATTAATATTAACAATGAATCGTTAATATTTATTATGATGCATATATAAATTTATTAATTATATTATAGATAATGTATAATGCTTTTTCAGTATATTTATGCTGTGTTAAATCATACCTAACTCAAACCAGATTTGCTTGGTTGCTTCTTAGGGTTTTTGTGTAGGTTTTTTTCTGTTTGCTGCTAACACCTATGTTAACCCCTTATATATCATTCCTTTCTAACAGTTATTGCTCTTCACCACTACTTTGTTCATACTTTATTCCCACAATAAAGGTACACATTCACCCTCCTTAAAATATCCATCACAGGCTGAGCTTATGTTTGATGTTTTAATGGTAGTGACCCTTGGCTCTTATAATACTCTCCAATTTCTTATTGAATTTTTGCATTGAATTGGATTGTATTCAAAATAGTTGTTTTCCGTTGATGACACTATCAGAAATTTTTTTTAGTATAATACAACACAACCATCTTTCCCAACCCTACTGAAATCTATGTAGTCTACAATTTATAACTTGTATAACCTGTTTATTTCTGGTTACATAACTTCAAATTGAAGACTTTGCATACTAAAAATACAATACAGCTCTTGTGTGACTTGTGTGTCTTAAAGTTATGCTTTAAGGTGGTGAAAGCCTTCTAATGCAGGAACAGGACAGGCCAAACACTATAGCTTGTATCTGAGATCTCAGGTATCCTCCTCAGAAAGTTTCACTTATGGTGCTTTGGGTGTTGAAATGAGAAGTGATTTCCTGAAGTATTCCCCATTTCTTACTGCTGATTTCTCTGTGGCCATCTGAGACAGCATCTGGAGTACCTGCCCTTCACCCAGGAAAAGTGCAGCTGAATCAGCAAGGCTGGGGCAGCAGCTGTGCCCTGGGGGACAGGCAGAGGAACAGGGGCAGAGAGAGACTCCTCTTCCCACCGGCTGCCAGGGCTCCCATCCCTCTCCTCCACACCACTGTGCCCTCCTGGCTCAGCAGGTCTCCATGTAGCACACAGGGCAGAGAGTGCGCCTGAACATCAGGGAATTCAGAGCAGCAGTCTCACACCAGTGCTTCAGCAATCTGCTCTGCATTGAAGTATGTACATCAGGACATCATTCCTTAAATGGTAATTGTCAGCAGCCCAAGGCAACAAATTAGAAATGGCTATGATGAGGTTCGGTGGAAGGGGAGGAAAGAAGCAGAGCGAATACTAGATGTGTAGGGGTTTTTTTGCAGTAAAATCAGCACATGGAGACATATAAGCAATAGGACAAATACTAGAAAACCTCAGAAGAAGGTACATTCAGGCTGGAGAAAGTGATAGGAAAGGACTGATTTAGTGGCATAGCTAAGAAATTTAAAATTTTAACTCTTTCATGCAATTGGGGAGGAATGTGATTGATTTACACCCTACACATACTTTTATTCTACCTTTCTGCTGGTCAGCCAGTATTTCAGAAAGCCTGACAAGGACACTGTGTACAGTAGGAAAATTACTTATGGGACATTTGGGCTCAGCTGTTTTTTAGAGTATCTGAATCTTACGGGTAGACAGAGCATCAATAATATATTACTGTCATAAACCACTCATGGCATGAATGGGAAGTCTTTCTGCATTCACTATCTGCCAGTTTTATTTGCTGATTGTTATGTAAGTCTATAAGATATTGATTTATTTGCCTCTGCAAAACATAAAAGAAGATTAATATGAATACTTCATTATTCCATTTTTGTGTCATAGTAATTTTTTCCTCAAGTACTCTGCTATTTGGAAAGGTAAAGTAGTCCAACTAATTACTTGTCCAAGAAGACGATGCAAAGCAACCATGATACCTTCTTTCTATGAAAAGAATTTTGGGTCCAAAAGTCTAAAGCATTATCTGACATTGAGTAAAATAAGATACAGCAAAACATAACATAGTGATTGAAGAAAAATGGGGAAAATTACCTATAAGAGAAATATGTAATTCACAGAATTTACAGAATGACTAGGTTGGAAGATCAAGTCTTGAAATTCAAGATCATCAAGTCCAACCCATGCCCTAAGACCTTAACTAGACCATGGCACCGAGTACTATATCCAATCTTTTTTCAAACACATCCAGGGATGGTGACTCCACCACCTCCCTGGGCAGACCATTTCCATCACTCTTTCCGTGAAAAACTTTTTCCTCATATCCAACCTATATTTCCCTTGATGCAGCTCAAGATTGTCCTCTCATTCTGTTAGTTGCTGCCTGGAGAAAGAGACCAACCCATACCTGACTACAGCCACCTCTCAGGAAGTTGTAAAGAGTGATAAGGTCACCCCCGAGTCTCCTTTTCTCCGGGCTAATGGGGTTAGACATCAGTCTCTGAGTCCTCAGGTTTGCATGGCACAATAAGCAAAGACAAGTGGGGGCCCCTCTCCCAGAGAAGTGGCCCTTCCTCAGCCTGTTCATGCCAGGCTGTCCAGCCTCCAGCTGGCCTGTGGTAAATTAATACAGCTTCCACCAGTACTTCTATTCTACAGCTTGTAGAGAGATGAACAGTAGGCACATGTTTATTTTCAAATTAGGTGTAAGTTTGCATTTCTTATTAGAAGTTAACTTTCAGTTAACTTTAGATATCACCAGATAAAAAACAGTCTGTAAGCCTTTATTTTGTTTTTTCCTTTTCTCCATTTTGGGAAAATTCCACAGTTTTGCTACATAAATTTCCTAATATATCTTGGAGACTCTGTAAACTTTGACCACAACTTGGTAGAACCTTCTTTTCTATTATAAATCTATTTATATCTATATAAAGCTACAAGACTTTTTCTACAATGGGTCCACAATCCTATAGCTAAATTACCATGCTATGGCATGGGAGGCCTGTTTCTGGTTAACAAATGGTATCATGCATATGAGAGCATTTAATAATAATGTCTTGACTTTTGTTAGTAAATTGAGATGTGTTTCTCACTGTGAAGTCTAACCTCTCTATGGAAGATTGCATTTTAAGAGCTGAGCTAATTTTACTGTTGGCATATAGAAGCAAACTGCTTAAATACTTTTTTTAGCTTTTCATCTGTTACAATGCAACAGATGTAAATGTACTTAAATGTACTTTATTTTCATACGTTGTTCCAGCTCATCTCCAGTATTTACAAAGTTTCAGCAAGCTGGATTAGGACATTAATGGCAAATCCATGGGTCACAACAATTATACTGAAGATGCCCATGAGGGGAAGGGGCAGGCACTGATCTCTTCTCTGTGGTGACTAGTGACAGTACCCAGGGGAATGGCCTGAAGCTGTGTCAGGGGAGGTTTAGGTTGGATATTAGAAGAAGATTCTTCACCCAGAGGTGGCTGGGCTGGAACAGGCTTCCCAGGGAAGTGGTCACAGCACCAACCTGGCAGAGTTCAAGAAGTGTTTGGACAAGGCTCTCAGAGACATGATGTGACTCCTGGGGATGGTTCTGTGCAGGGCCATGAGTTGGACTCAATGATCCTTATGGTTACCTTCCAGTTCGGGATATCCTGTGATTTTCTGATTCTATGATTCTGTGACAAAGTGGGATCATCTTAATCTGTTTGGCTGCCAATTGCAGAGTCAAAGAAGAAAAAATCTTAGTAAAAAGTTTTCAGTATCCATGTGAATAGATATATCAGTATTGACAATTAGATCTTTTAATAAAAAACACTTTTTGGTTATTTTTAGACTGTCACTGTAACTCAAACTGCTGTAGCAATAGTATTTAGCACTTTAACAAGGACCAGCTAGTTCTAGATTTTCAGAGAATCCATAGGACACCATTAATCTCAATTGTGTCATTCTCAAGGCTTTGTTACAAGTATGTATGGCCTTTAATGTGTTTGCACTACTCATTAACACAATATTACTTTCTATTAGCAGGAGTTTTGTAGATGCAGTGAAGTGAACACAGATCCATTAAAATATAGGAGTTTCACATTAACACATGCTGGGGCTTGCTAGTTTCCTTCTACATTCAGCTAAATATCTGCTGAATAGATTACAAATGACGCAGGAAAATTTCTTAACTACAGAGGTAAAGAATTAATTTTATGAAATTTTTTTTTCTGTCTTTTTTTACTTTCAGTTGACTACAATTTCATGATTCTTGCTGCTTTTAAAGTAATTTTAATTGTCATGTTTTACTTTGCCAATAAATAGCCTCTCAGATATTTATTTCCATTTTAAATGTTAAATAAAACTGGCCTCTTTTCTACAAGAATTTTGTGTTTTATCCATTTCCTTTTTCATAGTATCCATTCTTCTCCAGATTTTTGGAATGTTGTCTTGCAGAAAGGAAGGTGAGGCAGGCTACCACATCATAATTAACAATCTTAGTCTCTAGACTCTGAATTTAAAAGTGAGTTTTTTGTTCTCCTTACTATATAGAAAGAAAAAATCCGAGCATTTCAGGGAAGAATCAGAGATGTAAATTCTGGATTAAAGTTGCTGCTGTCTCAGCCTGGGCAAGAGACACACCAAGATGCAATACTTAAAAACTGTACTTCCCTTGGTATTGTCTATCATCTACACTGTCTATTGTCTCCACAGGCTGAGTTCTGTAGATGCTAAATAATTCAAAGTATCTCAGAATGGGTCAGGTCAGAAGGGACCACACAGGTCCAACCTGCCTGCACAAGTAGTGTCATCCTAGAGCACACAGCCCAGGATGGCATCCAGACAGTTCTTGGATACTTTTAGTGAGGGAGACTCCTCAACCTTTCTGGGCAGTCTGTTCCAGTGCTCAGTCACCTGCACAGTAAAGAAGTTCTTCCTCATATTCAGGTGGAATTTCCTATGCTTCAGTTTCTGCTTGTTGCCTTTTGTCCTATTTCTTGGCACCACTGAGCAGGGCCTGGCTCCATCTTCTTGGCATCTTCCCTTCAGTTACTGATAGACATTGATGAGGTCCTCCCTCAGTCATCTTTTCTCAAGACTGAGCAGGCACAGCTCACTCGGCCTCAAAAGAAAGATGCTCCAGTCCCCTGCCCATCTCTGTAGCCCTCTGCTGGACCTGCCCCAGAAGCTCCACATCTCTCTTGTACTGGGGAGTCCAGAACTGGACACAGCATTCCACATGGGTCTCGCTACAGCTGAGGGGCAAGATCACCTCCTTTGACCTGCTGGCTATGCTCTTCCTAATGCTCCCCAGGATACCACTGGCCTTCTTGGCCACAAGGACACTCTGCTGGCTCATGGACAGCTTGTTGTGTACCAGGACCCCCAGATCCTTCTCTATGAAGTCTTTACAGCAAGTTAGCTCCCATCCTATACCGACTCCTGGGGTTTTTCCTCCCCAGGTGCAGGACTGTGCATTTACCTTTGATGAATTTCAGATATTTCATCTCTGCTGATCTGTCCAATCTGTTGAAGCCCTTCTGAAGGACAGCACAGCACTCTGGGGTATTGGCCCCTCCTCTCAGCTTTGTGTCCCAACACATTCTCCTTGTGATAGAGCCTAGATGTTGCTCAGTTATGGATTTTGGGGACAGATGGTCATGATTGGGCACTGTCACTCTAGTTTAGTGGTACTTAGGTTCCCTTTGCAGTCTTCAGACATTAGCATTATTGTGCTGCTCACTTCATCTCAAAATTCCTGCTTACACTTTCACTTATTAGAGCTCAATTATTCAGCTAGATTACCCCAGAAGTATTTCTGGGAATTTTAATATTCAAATATTCACTTGCTAATGCTCACTCCTAACTTAATGCCTTAACAAATAGTTACTCTCCAGGGTAAACATGAATTCAAGCATTTACACAGATGGAGAAGCCTAACAGCAAGAGTCCCTGCCTAAGGCCAACTTATCTCTGTGTGCAAAGAGCACCTTGATGGGAAATGAGACTATGATTTGAGGTCTTTCTCCCTTTCCCTCAAGACGTGGGACCTACAAGTAAGATTAATGGAGGTCCTGATCTGATGATCCTATCAAGAGTCAAGTATGGCCTAATGTTCCAAGCACCACAGTAACATCATGGCTTTGTGTTCTGCCTGTGCCCAGCAATAAAAATATCGTAGTATCAAGGGGCAGGTAAAGGGAGGGCTACAGAAGAAAGTATAGTACTATCCTTTTCTTATTACTTCCTCTACACTGGCTATTTGAAAGTAACAGTATTCACTAAATGAAAAACATTCCTTTTCTTTAACTCCTAGGTGCATTCTATATGGTTCTGATTTCTAATTTTCCTTTTGCTGCAGTTTAGATACAGGACAGTGAAACATGGAGCACTCCTACAAACACTCCTTCAGTTAAGGTTTTACTGGTCTTCTGTACACTGACTTTGCACTTGTGCTAATGTTCTCTGTCCCTTTTGCCCCTTTTTTTGTTATTTTCAGTGGATATCTATGTCTCTTTATCTTTTGCCCAGAACATAGCCAACAGATGCAGGTTCTTATTTATCTCAAGCAGGCCACAGCTCCTTCACTCTCTGTACCATTTGCTAGTTATCCCTAATCCCTTCAGCACTTTCTTTTGCCCTACTATTTCACAGAACAGTTTATATACTGTAAATTGCTTTCTGTCTCCCTTCCCATTAAGTTACCATCTGTTACGCATTATCCTCAAATGCTATCTGCAGTCCAACAAACTTCCACTTAAAAATATGGGCCATTTCCCCTAATTTTCTTCTTCACTTTAGATTTGGCTCTGTGTAAAGCACATGTCAGCTGTTCAATGCTTGTTCAGAGGTTGATCTGCTACCTCAAGGCTTTATCTTCCTTTTCTTTCATCTGTCACTCAGTTTCCTGAATGTCTGCTTTTCTTTTTCTCTCTATAATGAAAGAGGGAGGAATAAGTGTGCCTACAATCTCTGCAAGGAGAGACCTCAGCCAGACTCTATTATTGCCATCAAGCCAGATATCAAGGTAGGCATCTTTTCAGCTTGCCCTGCGAACTCACTTGCCCACTCAGTTACTTCAGTGAAATGCAACAAGCTGCCAGGTGAAATGTATTTCTGTTTTTTAACACTTGCTTCAAGAGAACATTTTCTTCCCTTGTTTGTGTGACTTTTTATTTGGTCCTGAACTGTAGTACACAGTGACTTTCCTGTAATGTTTCAGAGATCCAGCCTGAAGCTTTTCATTTTTCCACTGCTAACTAAATGCTGCAGGGATCCACATGGCCATAGCTTTTCTCCTGCTGAGGGGGGCAGATGTGGCTGTCTGTTCAACATTGTCCAACAGTGTTCCTGTAGCCAGCCAGACCACAGGCAGCACCAGCACCAGCCACCCTCCCTAGCTGTTATTCCCCTTTGTACTAAGCAGAAGGTCACTACTTCAGCAAATTCCTGCTTACAAGTGGTAATAGTGTGCTTCCAGAATCTGTTCAGAAGCTTATTCCTTAGACCAGGATATTTTTCTGTGAGTTATTTGTATCTCTGCATTGCAGATGGTACACAATTTGTTCACTGATCTCACTCACAAGAACAGTGTTCTTTCTCTCTCTTAACTATGTATAGATTTTTCCTCTTGGCTTTTTACCAATCCCAAAGGTTTCCTCACCTGTCGCCTTACGTTCCTAATTTCCCCCTATGTGTTTTATGTCTGATTGATTGCCCTTTAGTATGAGCATCTTTTGCTTGACAGCAAGGATAAACTTCCTCCCAGAGGTGATCCTTCAGACCTACAGTCCTAGTGGAGTTCAAGGGCCCTGTGTCAGGTAGGGTCAGGTTCTCCCTTCTGTGGGCTGAAGGCAGATTTGGGACCTGGTGAGAGAAACTCAGGTTGCCCCTTTTCTTTTGGGGCTCAGGCACTGCCAAACCCATCCTTCCAAAACACTTATTGGAAGAAAACATTTAACTTCTGCAGATTTATTTTCCTTTTGGTTTGGTTCCTCTGTTCTGAGCATGGGAAATGTATTTATTTTACATTTACAAGGTGCTATATCTATGTGCCCCTGCTCTCTATTGCTATATTATGATTATGTCAGAAACACTTTTCTTGCCTTCCTGAAGATAAGTACGCTATGAAAAAATTTACAAAAATTTACAGATAGCAAAGTCTATATGATAGAAGAAAGGAAAAGCTTCACAGTTACAACTTCTTTCCAGCTATTTCCACAGACAAATATTGTTGAAAAAATTCTAAGAATTTCAACTGCTCTTAAAAGTTTTTGTTATAAAGTGTGCTATATTAGAATAATAGAATTAGAGTAAATAATAAAATAGATAATTTGAACGTGAATAACATTGGGACATCTTTCATTTTGTTCAGTATTTTTGGAACATCTCTGACATAAATGAAGGAAGTTCAAGAATCTCAAGATATATTAACAATAAATGAATATTATTTTATAATGCAGAATTGTCCTAATAAAGAGAACTGCAAATATGGTCTCAGAAGCTAAGATTTCAAGGATAGATTTGAAGCATTGTAAATCGACATTTTGGATTCCCTCTACACTGCAGTTTGGGCAAATTAAGATCCTCATAGTTATCCAAACAGTCCCTCTCTCTCTTTTAATGAAATTTTCAATGGATTTTATAGAAATTACCCCCCTCCAATATTCATAGTGTCATTAGAGAGACAAAGAGGTTCTAATAGGGACACTTTCTGTTCCTAGTGAGGTTGGTGGCAGAATTTCAGTGTTTTCAGGATATGTTGAAATTGAATATAAGTATAGTAATTTTCAGCAGATTTATTTAAATCTAGTACCTTGATATTTTGAAACTTCTGGTTCTAGGTTACACCACAGAACTTAAAATCAAACGTAAAACTTCATTGTCTTTCTAATCCCCCCCTTTTGCCATGTTCTTCAATACCTGGGCTGCCTCGGAAATCCACAGTCTTTGATTCTGTGCATATCTGACTGGAGTCAGCCCTTCAACATGCCATGTGTATGCAGTGCATGGCCTAGTATCACATTTTATTCAACACAAGCACAAGGATATTTAAGTCTTCAGTCCAAAGAAAAGAGGTCTTTCTGTAACTGTAACAGCACTGTACAAGGCAAAATGCCATGTTCTGTTTACTTTTGCTTGAAGAAAAAAAAATGTAGGAAAGCTGGTTATTGACTGGCTTTCTACTTCACTGTTATGTAAATCTATTCTGGCTAGATATTTTCCCCCTCAAGTGTCTTTACATAAATATAAATAGAAATATAAATAGAAACATAAATATAAATGATAATTTTTTATTTATATAAGAGAACATCTAAACAAAGCCATTTACCACAGATAAGAAGAAATAGCAAGGCCCTTAATTGAATTGACCCTGCTTTGAGCAATGGGCTTGGACTGGAGGGACTTTTTTTTTGCTGGGAAACGCAGTTTCAAAGAATCCCCAATAAAAGAATGGTCCTTAATTCTGATTGCTTTTAAGCTGTGAGCATGTTCACATGAGTCATTTCTTCAGCTGTGCTGAACTCCATCCTATCCTCAGTCTGACCTGAGGCAGTAGAGGACAGGGTGCCCAAGTGTTTCAAAGTAAGGTCATTTCATGTTGTTTATGATGGCTGTGAAACTGTCAAATACAACAAAATAACTGGATTGTTTCCACAGGGACTAATGCCCCAAGAGAAAGTTATGCCCAAGAGGATGGGAGTTCAAACTTTTTTGCTTCTGTGATCTGGGTTCTGGGGTGACATGGGCAAGCTCAAAACCAGAGCAGTCAATTTTAAATCAACTGTATTAACTATCTTCATGAAAAATTTTGAAGTGAATTGCACTGTTTTGGCTATTCTCTCATACTATTTTCAAGAGGCATGCGTGTGCAGTGTTACTCTAAAGGAAACTGGTTCCCGTTTCAGACAAAGCATTAACAGCACTGTCCACAGTCACTTGTTTCTTCCTTCATTCCTGGCATCTTGTTCAAGACTAAGTAGAGATGGGCAATACACTTCTACTCAAATAGTATCTTGTCCCAAAAGTATCAGCAGTATATTGTCCCCAACACCCACTGATAACATTACCAACTGCAATCTCCTAGTCTTTGCTGCTTTCTTGGCCCTGTCCCAGCAGTGCAGACACAGAAAGGCTGGAAGTAGGCTCCATACACTTCCCTCTCCACTGCAGCCAGTGGTAATTCTGCTTGCTCTCCTCTTTGAAGTGCTGGAGCAGGGCACAGCTGCTCAAAGTGTGGGGATAAACAAGGGTCTCACAGGGGAGGGGTGGAAGGAGAAACTGAGACCCTAATAGGAAATCTTCAAGAAGTTCTCTAACTCCGTACAGCTGGGTGGATTCCTCAGTTGACCAGTGTCAAGTGTGCTCTTTGTAATTCTATGAAAAGTTCTGTAGCATCACACATCATGGACAGGCAGGCTGCTCTTGGAAAGAAACAGACATGAAAACATTAGGTCTATTGTCAGAGTTGAATGATGTCCAGCCCTTCCCAGCTGAACAGCACCAATGCTTCACTTAATAAGATTTGCAGTGAATGAAGATTTCTGAGTCAGAAGCTCTGAAAGTACTCCTTGCAGCAGCCCCACAGGAAGAAAAAGCACCTTCCACTTCCTCCCTGACCACACAACAAGTAACAAGCAGCTGGTCTCATTGATTAAATATTTTCTGTTTTTCTCAACTCCCCAGGTGTTTGTTATTATAAAAAGGAGTCTCTGCACCCTCATGAGCTGTTGGTCTGTAAGTCCTGAAGATGAAGGTCAAGGCTCACAGGCTACAGCTCTGCATCCTGTAGTGATGCCCTCCATCCAAAGGTGTTGCTAGGACTGGGGAAGAGGACTGATGAGACCTGTGTCTCAGGTGTCTTGCAAGGTTACTTAC